TTTTTACTCACTTTGGAATAGCATTTTGATGTTTTACTTAAAAAGGATATTTCAAGAAACATTGGAAAAAATATCATTGGAAGAGCTGCAAAATTATATTGAGTTGCTTACATGATATTACATTATTATAGTTTCTTTGAATTTTTTTCTGTGTTAAGTGGTTTTTGAATTTTGAAAACTTTGTACAAATTGGGTATTCAGAAAATGTGTATGAATGTCCTTCAAAATTTACAATTATAAATTTTAACCTTTGTTGTGTTATGATATGTTCAAAATGTAGTCATAATTAAGATGTAGATACTTTATGATTTATCCTGTTTTGATTATGGACTTATAAATTAATAATATAAATTTATTTTCAATTTCATCATGTCGTTTGAAAGATGGTGGAAAATTCTTGTAAATATAGCAATGAATCAACTGATAAAGAAATGATTATTATTGCTGACCTACATTAAGCACTGTAGGTTGGGTGAATCTGCATTTGTAACAGAAGGTTTCAGTTTTATGATAATATCTGCATTCTAAACATTTTCTGCTGGTGAATTAACATCAAAGGCTTACCAGATCGGTGGAAAATGTATTAATTCATTTAGATAAATGTTTATTTTCTCCCACCTTACTTAAACTTTTATGTTCTTGTTTTGATTTTTAAATCGATTAAGAAATGAAATGCATAAATATTAGGTGGAAAGAAAGTACGGTGTTAACATCATTAAATGATTAATGGGAAGTACTCGTGCACTGTTACACCTTTGAGTGGCATGAGTAAAATGTCAAGTAGCAATTCTTCAGTGAATAATAAATTATGTATGAATGTAGTTTGTGGAATTGTACTAGTACCAAAGCGATGTGGTGTTATATATTTGTAAATATAATCACAGATAATGGCTGTTGATCTGTTTTCTTGAAGTAAATGTTGAACCAAGGACATTTTTTTCCAAAATTGTATTCTTTGTTGCCTCAGACAAGAATATCTGTGCATGTACGTGATAAGGAGAGCTGTGTAAAAATAATTGTAATTATATTCAAACAGTGAGATTTTTCGATTGTATACCAATCTATGTGAATAATAAAACTGTCACACAGTTATTAGAACTTTTATTTAATTCCTAGGTGAGTGTCAACTTGATGTGATAAAGTAAATAGAAGTATAAAAGTGTGTTTTAAAACTTTCACACTACCAATAATCACCTGCTATAAAATGTTCAACACCCAATGTTTCAAATTAAGATTTTATATTTATTGCATGTTATGAAAGGTGTCCCCTGTGCTTTAAAATGGTTCTGTTTCTAGTATCTAATAGATTTAAACAAAATAAATGAACAGATTCTCATTAATTAACAAAAAATTGCAGCTTTCAGTTTTGAAATTGGCTGGATAGATTTCAAGATATTCAACAAAAATTCTTTGGGGATCCAAAAAGAATGAAACCTTTATGTGTGAGAGAAATTACTGTCCAACCCAGGATTTTCTACAAAACATATTCACTTATCAATCTGATCGATCCCTAGGCGTTGTGAGTGTTAAACGAATCAATTGTGGGGGTGTCTTACAAAGCCCATAGGATATTCTCTGAGGTTGCCCCATTTTTTTTTTTTTTTTTTTCAGAATATGATTTTTATTAAAACATCAGAAATTTTGAAAATTGCAAAATTTCATCTTTTTTTCATATACTGTATCTTCATTATTGAAGCTAGTGGCTTTCTTAATGCAATGTGTTTCCCAATATTAAATTTTTAATTGTCTTGTGTTTTTTTCAAATAATGAGTAGTTTAATGTAATTTTGAGTAAAACTCTGAAATTTTTCCAAAAACTTCCAAATTAGGTCCTCTTGCATGTTCACAATGAGAAATCTCTTTTGGAGCTGTAATCAATATGCAGTCCTGTCCTATCTTATGGCTTGACAGCCCGCTCCAGACCTTGGCGGACCAGCTGTGTCCCAGCTTCTCGGCCATGGATAAGTGGTTTGTTTGCTTATTAGGAATACATCCCTTCACCATATATTCTGGTCTTCATAACCTTGTCACACAGCAATAGAAGGGAAACATTTGTAAGGAAAGGACACAGTTATTATTTTGGCCTTTCCAGGAATAGAACCTAGGGTTGCACCATAGAAGGTGAGCATGGTAACCAACGAGCCACTGAGGGCCACCAATGAATATGTGGTAATTCTCTGAATAAATTGAGTAAACTAAAAAAATGTTGACTTCAAGTATGGGAGGATTGTACCAACACTGGCTCACTGGTTAATTGGATAGAAGCAGAAAATCGCTTGAAGATTTCAATTGTAGGAACACCAAAACTTAAAGAAGTACTGTTTCCCTACTCGCTTAGCAAAATTGCAGGATAAGAATATTGTTAATGATAGTTTTTGGATTTTATTTTTATTACAATAGTAGGTAAAAAAAAAATCAAAATCATGGTAGTATAACATAGTATGAACTTTCACATTGTATAAATGTGTCACCTGAACGTACAAGCACCAACTGTTGTACCGTCTATTCATCATGTTTCAATTGATGAAATAGTTCAAATTTACTTGTCCAAATACTTTATTTGTCACACTTTCGTACTTGAGAACCTAGTATTCAGTAATAAAGTCTGTAGCCTTTGGTTCTGCCACAACACCTCTGTTTGAACCACAGATTGTATAATGTATACATGATGGAAAAAAAAAGCAATTGACAATTGAGAAATGTGACATAGCAGGAGTCCTTTTTATTTATAGATTTATTCATAAATAAAGATAAATTGACAATAAATACATAAATAAATAAAGAAATAAATATTGTACTAGCTAAATTATATTGCAGCTATGGTTATAAAATGCTCACAAATGTGCAAACAAACTGTAACTTATGAAATAGTGCATGTTTGAAAACATTTCTTGTATTTTTACTTGTGTTTAACACAATTTATTATTCCATTAACAATAATAACTTCTTAATTAAGAAGGTCATTTACATTATTTTTGGAAGTGTTTCTTAACATATTTATTTCTACACATATGCACTGGGCATTGTATGTCTCTTCTATCCTTGAGCACTAATACTCTCTTATTGACATAGTTTTTAGAAACATTTTCTGCCTATTTCATTTTTAGTTTCAACATATAACATTCAGTCTTCTTGAAACTAGTCAGCAACTCACACAAGTCACCGTATGGATATCGTTGTCACAAAATAGTTCAACGAAAAATTAATGATTCTTATCATTCATCAGTATATTTTATGTCTGACTAATCTCTTGTACATCACTATTGAGCAAACATGGGAGACTTCCTTTTCTTTGAAACATTTCAAGAAAAGTTGATTTTGGCGAAAAGTCACCTGGATGGGACATACCACATACGGTACGGAATCACAGAATAAGTTCCAAACAGATTCATTCAACGAGATAATTTATTAACACAAATGAGAGAGTGGGTACTTTCTGTGCTCTTCAGGAGGTAACAAGGTGAGAGATCTTCTCCATGGATGTCTCAATCTTGTCATCAATGTGGTCACCTTCTGGGGATCTTGGGGTGGCCAGGTTGACTTAAGAGAGGCAAATCAGATCAAGAGGAAAGACTGAAGTAGATCCAGAAAGTGTTTTAAGGAGGCAATTTCAGTGTGGACTCTACCATACGTATTTTTGAAACAAAACATTTAAGGGTTAGCTTTCAATTAGAGAAAAGTGTTGTTGTCGCGGATCTGCCGGGGAAAATCATGCTGCCATTAACCTCTGCAAATGGACGACCAGAGCAGTAGTCACTGAACTCCTGTTTCAATCTGACCGCGAACTCCGTTCTCGAAGAGCACTCGAACCAGCAGAACCACTTGACTACGGGGACGCGTGTTACATGGTCCGGCGAAGTTTTGTATTACTACGACTTTTTTAATCCAAGAATGACAACCCAGTTATTTTGGTAACCGATATTTTGAGAGTGTATAAGTGACATGTTAAATAGAAGGTGAAAACCAGAATAACCTAAAACCGATTATGTTGTATCCCTATATCCAATGGCGTAACGTTCGGGCCCGCAAGGCCTGCAATGCGGGCGTGCCCAGGTAAAAGAAACCTATTTTTAGGGGATATTTTTTATTATTTAAGGTACTAGCACTACTAGTATTTGCTATACACTTTTATAAAGGGAGCCCAGGTAAAATGTTTACGAGTGGGCCCGCTCTCATTTCGTTACGCTACTCCTCTTACAATTTGCACCAGGACCTATTTTAATTTTTGATTAATTTTTTTGATGCCAACGTTTTAGAAAGTGTCAGACTATTTAACTAATATTTTTCAGATCCCAACATATTTTATGCTATTTTTTAGAGTATTTTATGATTCTCCCTCCTCCGTAACCTGGGCTTCTAAGCAACTGCGTATTTTGCTTGTAAGTACATTCGGTCCTGGTCCTGGTCGCACCCTGTGTCACGTAACAGACTTTCGCGTGAGGGTGTTTCTGTCGACCAGTAACGACCGCTTGTCATGACGAGTCAGTCAACGACATACAACTGTCAACAGTTTACACGAGAAGCGAGATGCCAGGAAACGTATTCAGAAACACCTAAGGTGTCGGTCACAGTGGAACCGATTTTGGTTAAAATTCTGGTCGGCCGACGTCGATACTTCTCCTCTGTGCCCGATTCGTTTACACGCGTTTTGATAAATGGAAATTGTCATAATATACCCAAACGACTTCATCCGACTGCGTCCGAAATCACCGGATAACGGTCAAAATTCTGTTTTGTTTGGTTCCATTCGCCTGAAATCAGCTGGAGAGTGACGGTAATATCCAATACACGTAGTTGGTCTAGACCGCGCTTCTCGCAAATGATTAAAAAAATGAACTGTGGAATTATGGGAACAAGGAGATTTCGGGGGCAACATTAGAGGGTGTTTTTTTCAAAAGAAATACGAAGTACCTTTTCTCTCGTAGTCGACCGGTGGCGAATTCGGTTGCACTGTGACCATAGCCAAAACGTCCCCTCCAAGTGACTATCTACCAGCTAAATGGCTACCAAAACGGTTAAACCGTTTTTGTTAATGCTCCATTTCCTCACGTCTTGCACGCAATGGCTCGCACTAGAGCCTTGATGCCTGCGAAGGTCTCCCTGCCCGTGGGCACGATCTGCGTCGCGGGTAGCAAGAAGCCGTAGTCGCCCTTGTCCCGCAGCTCCACGGTGTAGGCGTACTTGATGCCCGCCACTCCCTTCGCCCAGTCGTCCGAGCCACCTAAGACACAAGCGCAGAAGCCATCAGTTGGTTCGCCTTCACATGGAGCCGTCCCCTTCACACACAGCCACTGTGCTTGGAAAAGGAAGGCTTCGTGAGCCAGCTGTCGGTGCCGGCAGTTGGTGGCCGTCGACAGAAGCTCAGTGGCGCATCTGAGTGACTTAGGTACAATTAAAAAAAAATTCCACTGAATATAGTGCCATTTGAAGCCATGATGTTTATTTTCATTAGTATAACAAGAAATCGATACTAAAATTTTCAACCTTTTTGCTCCTTTGTAACTTTTGCCCACTTATCCGTTTGTTCCATTTTGTCCCTTTGTCTCCCTTTCTCATTTTGCCCCCAATGACCATTTTGTTCCTCTTATCGCATTTGTCCTTATTGTCCCATTTGTCCTCAAGGTCCTATTTGTTCCCGTTGTCCTTTTTTGTCTCTATGTCCCATTTTGTTCATTTGTTCCATTTTTTCAATTTGTTCCACTTTGTTAATATGTCTCATTTTGTCAGTTTGTCCCATTTTGCTAATTTGTCCTCGTTTTGTCAATTTGTATTTTTGTCCCCTTGTCCTAATATTCCGTTATACCCCATTGTCTTACTTGTACCATTGTTCCACTTGTTTCAAGTCCTCATTGTCCCAATTGCTCCATTTGTCCCCTTGTGCCCAATGGCTCGTTTGTCCGCTTTCTTCCTCCTTGTCCCATTTAGTCCCTTTGTCACCATTGTCCCAATTGTCCCTTTTATTGAATTTGACCCCACTGCCTCATTTGTCTCATTTCTCCCCTCGTCCCATTTTGCCAATTTCTTCTCGCTGTTCCCATTTCTCCGCGTTTGTCCTTCTTTCCTAACTCCCCCCCCCGCTTGTTCCCAATTTGTCCCCCTTTGTCTTTTTGTCTTTCCGCGCCCTGCGATTGTTATTTAACATCGGTATCAAGTCCCTCTACCAACAAACCTTGCTCCAGAGCATCGAGAATCATGACAATTTTTAACTCATAAAAGTTTAAAATGTTTATTCTGTAGAAGCGATAAACAAGCAAAAACAAAAAAAGTAACACGTTCTCTATTAGTCTGTAACATAAATAACTATTATTTTTACCATTACTAATAACTGGTCTTTTATAGGTAACTCTGTTTTTAATTTGAATGTTAATTTCATTTTTAATATAACTTTATCTGCTCAGAAATGTTATGGGAATATTATGCGAGGTGGATTCTGTTCGATGTTTGAAACACTATGAATTCTTTTAGCATCGTTTACATACCTTTTTAATGAAATTAAACAGAATTCAGGGTAAGTATTTATATAACAATATTTCAGATTTGCATGTAGTATTTTGAATGACTGTGTTGTATTGCTTAGTCTACACCGTCAAGTAAGAGCACTCTCTGGAAGTGAGGAGGGCGGCAACGCAATGGCACCGCAAACAAATAGGATAGAGCGACATCGTGAGGACACGTACGGGATGTTGGAATAACGACAATGCTTGACTATTCACCAGGCATGGAGAGAGCGGGAATGCAAGGGTCAGGTAGAGTGGCAATGAAGGGGATTAACCGGCCAGCGGCAAGCAAGGGCACTCACCGAACGCGGAGAGACCGGCAATGTACGGACACTTCAAGGAAGTAGGATAGAGCGGTAGTGTGAAGGTCCTTCAAAGATGCAACGGGAGGGCACTTACCGGAGGTTGGGTAGAGCAGCTTGGTGGCGGCGCCCACTTGGTAGCGCTGGCCGCCCGCCTTCTGGACGGCGTCCACCGCCTTGCGCCCCATCGCCATCATGTCCTCGTAGTCGGGCGCCTTCCTGCGGAACACCCCACCACCCAAGCTTAGTCTAGTCGCACACGAGCGTTAAATTACGTACGTTAAAAGGCGTCCGTTTTGCGAGAAAAGAACACAACGATCCCGTGGCACACGAGCGCGCCGCGCGACTTATGTTGAAATTAGTGTCCTTTTCCTAGCAGACGACGGACGTCAAACGCTAGCCAACGCGCGTCTCCTAACGCACGTTGTAGCTTCAGGAGGAAAAGTATGGTTGTTGGCACAATGTCTCTGTTGGGACGACATTTAGCTAAATGTTTAGCTACGTGCGTAACGGAGAGCAATAGAAATTTGAACAGAATAGATACGGAATCAAAGAAGTGCAGACTTGTCCGGTTATATGGTCCTCGTCAATTATTTTATATAAACGTATTGTTTAAGAAAATTCATGAGACGAAATATAATGTAATGATGAAGACATATGATATGCTAGTTTTTATTACATTCCATTCGAAATCTAATGCGAAGAAAAAAAATCATCATTAGGGAAAGGTTTTAAGATACGTCACCTTTTCAAAAATGTAGCTATTTTGTTATTGTAAAATATTCATTGCATTTTCTGCCCCTACGATTGTGAAAGTTCGCCCTTGAGAGACAGAAACAGAGAGAGAGGGAGACAGAGACAGGCAGAGACACACAGAGAGAGAAACAGAGTCAGAGAGACAGACGGAGAGAAAGAGACAGACGGAGAGAAAGAGAGGTAAACGGAGAGAAAGAGACCGACGGAGAGAAAGAGACAGGCAGAGAGAAAGACAGACGGAGAGAAAGAGACAGACGGAGAGAAAGAGACAGGCAGAGAGAAAGAGACAGACGAAGGGAAAGAGACAGACGAAGAGAAAGAGACAGACGGAGAGAAAGAGACAGACGGAGAGAAAGAGACAGGCAGAGAGAAAGAGACAGGCAGAGAGAGAGAGACAGACGGAGAGAGAGAGACAGACGGAGAGAGAGACAGACGGAGAGAGAGAGAGACAGACGGCGAGAGAGAGACAGACGGAGAGAGAGAGACAGACGGAGAGAGAAACAGACGGAGAGAGAGACAAAAAGTCAAACGGAGAAGGATGTCGAGAGAGA